ATCATTATCCATTTTGCCTCCTCCTCTTTTTCTTCCAATCTTAGCCAAAGTATTCTGAAATAAAGTTAGAATGTATCACTGTCCAAATGTACCACAGAAAAAAGGAAGAGAAAGACAGACATCACAAAATTAAAGAAGCATACTAAATCATCTGTTCTCCACATATCTTGCGAAAATCTCTATCTTTCCGTTCAAAGACAACTCTGAAGTTACGAGTAAATTTCAGATTTGGCAAAAACCGTATATCCCAAATTTTGCTCGTGAGCACGACGCATTTTCAAGACCCGTACAAAAGCTGAAGTTTCAATCTGTTGATCAGTGTGTTCACAGCGGTATTTGAGGAGCTCTTTGGTTTTCAGCTGAATATGTTTGTTGAAATAAATTTAATTCAGTATTTCTTTTAACCTGATCCCATATCTGTCTGTTATGCAAGCGCTTGGCTCACGTTTTCACAGCTTGAAACTGTTACAGCCAAAGGCTCAAATATCCTGACTGAGCTTTATAGTGCTTTCTTCAACAACAGAGTATTCGAATAAATGTTTCCTCTTTATCATGTTTTCAGAAAATTACAGAATTTCCTGCAATGAAATTTTAAAAAAGGTTTCCTAAATTTTCTTTTTTTTTCACGCTCCTGTATTAGTAGCCCAAACGAAGCCAGAATTACATATTGAAACAACTGGAAACTTTTCTGAAAAAAATAAAGAGGGGTGAAAAATAAACCACGGTGTTAGGGTATTATAGAATATACTGAAAATGACTGGAAAAAATGGACAGAATTTAAATAAAACTGCTTGAAGATTTATTTAAATCTGGAGAGATTTCAATGGAGAGATAACAAGCCAGTAAAGAGTCTGTATCAAGATGTGGGAGAGAAAGAAAACAGAGAGAAGAGCCCCATGTTTCACGTACCTGCAGTTTCCATAAGGGAAAGATGAGAAGCGAATTAGGACATCCAAGACTCAGGGGACTAAGGGGGCAGACGCTGGACACAGAGGCCATCAAGGAGGGGCCACGTTAAACCTCCTACAGCTTGGGTTGGGTATTCTTACACAAAGAGTTTTGCTCAAGATGTGAAGATAAACCAGACGGACTCATGCATGCTCAAAGACTGAGCCTGAACTCAGAATTACTCATACCCCAGAAAGTAGATGAAGCTTATCCTAGATTGCTAATGCCTCCAGCTGTCTACTAGAAGCAAGCACAGATCCTCTCTAAAAGATACACCAAAAGAGCATTGCCAGCATGAAGCTTGAGAAGAAAATGAAAAGCAACATACGGAAAGAAATGAGCAAGATAGACAAGATAGGATGACAAGATCAGATATGTGTGTAATCAGGGTTCTAGAAGAAGAGAGAATGGGGCAGAGGCAGCCCTTGAAGAGATGATGGCCAGTGATGCTCCAAAACCTCAGACAGACATCAAACCAGAGACTCAAGAAGGTCCATAAACTCCAAGAATGGCCAGGTGCAGAGGCTCACGACTGCAATCCTAGCACTTTGGGAGGCTGAGGTGGGCAGATCACTTGAGGTCAGGAGTTCGAGACCAGCCTGGCCAACATGGTGAAACCCTGTCTCTACTAAAAGTACAAAATTTAGCCGGGCCTGGTGGCACATGCTTGCAATTCCAGTTACTAGGGAGGCTGAGGCAGGAGAATAGCTTGAACCCAGGAGGCGGAGTTTGCCGTGAGTGAAGATCATGCCACTGCACTCCAGCCTGAGTGACGGAGTGAGATTTTGTCTGAAAAAAAAAACAAACAAAAACACAAAACAAAACAAAACAAAACAAACAAAAAACTCCAAGAATAATAATCACAGAAAAAGCTGCAACTTGGTACATCATAATGATGCCCATGAAAACCAAAGGCAAAGAGAAAAATCACAAAGTCATCTGCAGGGGGAGAAAAACAAGTTACAGTCATGCCCCTCATAACAACCTGTAGGTCAATGGACGGGATCCCTTAAGATTATAGAGGAGCTGAAAACTTCCTACTGCCTAGTGACATCATAGTCTGGTCCTAATAAACTTTCAGAGTGTTCGTTCTTTTCTAGTTACCCCCCAGCTTTTTTTGGGGAGACAGCATCTTGCAGGCTGCAGTGCAGTGGTACAATCAGAGCTCACTGCAGCCTCAAACTCCTGGGTTCAAGCCGTCCTCCCACTTCAGCCTCCTGAATAGCTGGGACCACAGATGCTGCCACCATGGCCTGACTAATCTTTTATTATTTATTTATTTATTTATAGTTTTTGAGACAGAGTCTCGCTCTGTCGCCCAGGCTGGAGTGCAGTGGCACGATCTTGGCTCACTGCAACCTCCGCCTCCTGGGTTCACGCCATTCTCCTGCCTCAGCCTCCTGAGTAGCTGGGACTACAGGTGCCCGCCATCACGCCTGGCTAATTTTCTGTATTTTTAGTAGAGACGGGGTTTCACCGTGTTAGCCAGGATGGTCTTGATCTCCTGACCTCGTGATCTACCCACCTCAGCCTCCCAAGGTGCTGGGATTACAGGCGTGAGCCACCGTGCCCAGCCTAATCTTCTTTTTTTTTTTTTCTAGAGGTGAGTCCTCACTGTGTTTCACAACCTGGGCAGGGTCACCTGTGGCCTCAGGTGACCCTCCTGCCTTGGCCTCCCAAAGCACTGGGATTACTGGTGTGAGCCACTGTGCCCAGCCTCTAATCTCTTTTCCTGGGAATACTCTGTCAGGCCAGAAAGTCCTTCAATCCTGTTTACTAGTCGCATTCTTATTAATTGAGAATACTTGTAGAAAGGAAAATAAATCAGGATAATATTTAACATTAAAATATTTTTAAAACATTGCAACTTAGGCCATTTCTTCATGCGTAGGTGAATTAGAATAATTTTAAAGTGCAAGCTTTTGAAAGTTGGGAGGTTTTGTAACTGACTGATTGGGACCCCTTGGGCTACACCCAGTAAATGCAGGACTCAGTCCGTGCTGGGAGGAAGACGCAATCCTGCATTCTGATGGCCCCATGGGTCTGTGAATAGTTAGGTATTCTGCCACATACCTGTAGTGTCTGTTTTCTCCAGACATTTTTAGGATGTGTTCTAACACATACAGGCTGAAAAGACACGGATTGCACCTGGAGAACGGTGGTTCTAAGTGCTTTCAAGTTAGTGGATTCAGGGTCATTCTAAGTGGCTGTCCCCCTTGGAAGCAGGACACCCTCTACAAACACCTCACCCAGCTTTCTAATGAGGCTGCATGAAAATGCAGTAAGAAATTCGCATGGCAGCACCCTCATGGCCATCTCTGCAACTTTCTAGGCAAAGGCTGCACGGACAGGACTACTCCACAGTGAGTATACTAGTCTCTGTTCTGAACAGACCCTCAGCTCACACCACCCAGGGCATGGAACACTTTGAAACCCAGTTTTCGAAGGAATACACCATTTTTTTCAATGCCTCACAGGCCAGCGTTCTTGGTTGTGGACACTATTTCTTAATGATAAGTCCATGTTCCTGCTGGCTCTCATTCCTCCCTGAGGTCAGCCTGCTGGCTCTCATTCCTCCCTGAGGTCAGCCTCTCAGTGCGTCTTCTCCGGAGAATGCAGGGACATCTGCAAGGCCTCCTGAGGCAGAGGATAAAGTGATGCTGCATTAAAAAAATGACCTGATCGGTGTCTTAAAAATTTGGGCTTTTACATCGACTTATCATGTACTTCGGCTCCTAGGGGCTGGGGTGGAGAGGGAATGTTGGTGACGGCCTTGACTGATCAATTACTTACTCACTGACAACGGCCACACACTCAGGACACACTGGGCATTACTCAAGAGGAGGGCGGGGAGCGGATGAACCACACATGACTGATACGGGTTCCTCCTCAGGGAGGTGTGTCCTTGCAGATGCAGGTGCCGTGAGCTGTGAGCAGAGCTGGAAGGTGGTCAGTACTGCCCTGCGGAGATGCACCCCAGCCACTTAACCCAGCCTGGGGGGCTGTGTGGGGCCAAGCAGGTCGAAAAGGCTTCCCAGAGGAAGTGGCATCAGATGAAGCCTAAGAATGAGTCGGAGCTATAGCCACATGAAGGCGAAGCTGGTGGCCATGGGTCAGGAGCATTCAAGGAGCATTCAAGGCACTCACTGGCTTCATGGCTGCCATCACAGGACTGGGATCAATTTTTATGCACTCTTTGTTCAAGCTACATGGATGGTTCTGCCTTCATTGAGCATTTTCAACCCAGAGTTTGCGGTCTCTGTAATGCTTTACATTTTACAAAGCACTTTCATTTATTATATCAATTACAAGGCACAGCATTCAGTAAGCACAGTCAGCACTGCACACTGCAAAATATACATTTAGTAAAACCTGTGCAAGAATAGACTGAGGAGCAGAAGACGCCGTCTCAATCTTTGGGCAGTTGATATAAAGATGACAAGGAAACCCAGGCTAAGGCAACCCTCATCATAAGGTAACGTCAGGAGAAGATGACCATGTCTAATGGGGCAAGGCAGACTGGAGGTGATGCAAGTTCCTGGACCACCAAGGCTGGCTGCTAACCCCAGTGGAACGAAGGCGGCTTACTCTTGGGAGGAGAACAGCACCTACCTCCTCTGGTCATCCTCTTTCCTTCCTCTTCCTTCCTGCCTCCAAGTTCATCAATGACCTGTTGTCTGCCCAAGGATGGGAGATTCTTATGTTATCAAACATTGATTGGTGAAATTCATCCTCAGTCTTTTCAATAATGTCCCAGAGAGCATCTTCTTCTCAGGTGAGCCTTCCTCCCCACCAAAGCCTACCCCTCTCCTTTGATACAGAGAGCAGAGGGGTGTGTGACGTGTGAATGACGACAACACTCCTTCGGATGATCCCGCGCCGGGAGTCTGCTGCAGCGTATTCTCTCACTCCAGTCACACCCACGGAGTGAATGACGACAACACTCCTTCGGATGATCCCGCGCCGGGGGTCTGCTGCAGCGTATTCTCTCACTCCAGTCACACCCACGGAGCCAGTGCCCCTGAAGGGTCTATAATGGATGCAGGACTCACCTGTAGCGAAGACAACATTCCTCGAGACCAGACGGTGCTCCACGATGGAGAACTGCGGGAGCTCGATCCTTTCCACTCCGGTGACAGCCTTGTCCCCGCCTCGCCAGTAAAACTCAATGTCATCCGTGGTGTAGCCATCTGCCGAGAGAGAAGCAGGGAGACAGGAAACATCACCATTTCGTACAAATGCACGGCTAAATAAACTATCATTAACACGGAGGTTGCGGCTCTGCTATGTTTTGAGTAGATTTGCTTAACGTGCTTGTCTAGGGGAAGCGTCATCAAAGAACTACCTTTCCAGTATTCTCAGTTATCGCTGCCATTTCATGTGTACCGGGTTGGTATTGAGAAGCCGAGAAGCTGGGGAGAATGCATGCTCTGACCAGAGTTCTGTCTGTGAAGTGCAACTTCAGAGCTGACCCAGACACCACACGGAGATGAATTTAAAATATATCTCAACTGCAATGAATAAGATAGTTTCAAGAGAAAATGAGAATTGCAGTACGAAGAATTCTGGAAAGGAAAATCCTCTCGAGAGCTTTTGAGAGAGTTCAAAGACTGACGGTGAATTTCACCAATCGGTGATTGATTAAATGAGGTGAGCTCAGAGCAAAAGGAATGTTCTCCTTAGCATATTTGGATGGTTTTATCAGCTCTTCCTGGCCACAAAGTTTGCCAACCTTAGAAATGCCTGTTCTTGGGATATTCCTGACCCTTAGAGATGTGCACAGGTAGTCTCATCAGAAAGAACAGTGGTCGTTAGCTGGATTATAGCTGCAAATCCAGCTTTAGCGCAGTGTTCACGTTCACGTGGTGATTAATCACGGCTTCTCGAGAATGAGTAAGTGGGGCAATAGAGTCCACTGTTACTTGTAACACCAAGGAGTCTCCTAAAACATTAGGTCAACTTTGTCAATAAGATCAATTAAAACAGAGATTGGGAGAACAATATTATCTCAAGATAAAGGACTTTTTAATTTGAACATAAAATGTAAAAAAAAATATTCACTCAATATTGAATGTTAGTCAAACAAATGGACCAAAACCGTAGGGTGGGGAAGGGATGCTCCCCACAGCTAACGCCACCTTCCTGGTCCTACCTACTGTCCTCTCTTTAATAAAACATGCATCTTTCCACATGGTAAGTGGCATACTCTGCTTAAAACCTGCAAATGCTTCCCAGTGAAATTATTAATAGCAAAACAAGTACAAACTCCTTACAAGAACCTCAAGGACCTACAGACCTGGCCCCTGGGCCTTCGGCTCCCCTTCCTCCTTCACCCAGCCAGGCATCACTGGTCTCTTACTGCAGCTCAGACCAGCGTGCTGTGCCCAGGGCTTCTGGGTCCTGTGCAGGGGCACACCTCCAGATCTTCATGTAGCTCATTCTTTCCCACATTTGCATCTTGGCTGAAATCAAACCTCGCAGAAGCCTTCCCTGGCATTCCATCTCACAGGCAACCTCGCAATCTCTCGCTATGCTTTTATCAGACTACTTTCTTCGAAGCACTACCACTAGTTGATTTTGGTCTAAGGGTTTCCTGCCTTCTGTGGACTATAAACTCCACGAAGGCAGGTGTTTTGTCTGTCATCTCTAACTATCCCTGTGCTTACAACCGTGCCTACGCAGAGTTAACGTCCAGTGAGTATTTGTTGGATAAACTTTGGGTTGATGAATTTGACCTCCCATGTGGAAATAAAGACACCACTTTTCTTTTGTCTATTCCCAACATGAAGACATGTGTAGTCAGACCACAAGAGAATCAGGAGAATCCCTTCTTCCACTCAAATGATTAAACCATGGATTCTTTGCAGAGCAGGGACCTCACACATGGCGAGGATCTCTTCTACAGCAGATCTTCCTGCTCATCAAACACCCCTGCCCATACACTACAGCGGCAGAGTCCTCTCCCTCAGGAGTCACTCACTGTGTGACCTGACAGTTGAAATAGGAGCTGCTGCCTTACTTAGATTCCAAATTGCCCTTCCTGAAACTTCCACTGACTCACTGGAGTTGTGCCCTCCGGCCACACTGAAGCCAGTTAACTTCTTCAGATCGTCCTTCAAATACTGGGAAATCATCTTTCCCCTGAGCCTTCTGTCCTCTAAGGTAAACGTCCCCAGAGAATTCAACTACGCATCATTTGACAAGGCTTTACGTCTTTCTTCTCCTGTAAAAGCACAGCTCTCGGAAAACATGACAGTGATGTAGGTGGAAGTGAGGGGCACCGTGCAGCCAGCCTCACCCAAGATCTACACTAGGCTCTACCACCAGGGCAGTTTCTCAACATGGTCATTCACAAAGACACTGGCTTCTCACCACAACTGTATCAAGTGGGACTGCAAAGTCAAAGTCATTTATCCCCACAAAATTCAGTACAAATATTGACAAGCCTAAATCCAATTGAGACTAGTTATAAACCAGTTTATAATAGGCCAAGATGAGCAACAACGAAAACCGTATCCTGATATGCCAGGAGGTGTAGTTTAGGTAGCAGGAGGCACGTTGTTAGATGTTATGGATGCAGCTCTCATCTCTCATATAGGAGTACTCAACGCTGAATTATCAATAAAGCAACCGAATACTACTCAAATTGAAGAAAATTGCCGAGATGCAGAAATAGCCTGCTTGTAAAGCCGAGTTCCTGATGGGAAATGAGTTTTACTCTGACCGCCAGGGTCCCAGCAGTGCAGCCACTCATGCGTGATGAAGCATATTGTAGAAAAATAGCATCTCGGTGTTTGCTCTCCTCTCACTGAATGGACCGAAATGAGGGGCATTTGTTTTCTTCTATTTCAGCACAGCAAACAGACTCTCTTAATCAGATTAGAATGAAGAACTCCTTTATACTGAGTCTCTCTCTCTGTCTTTCTCTCTCTCTGTCTTCCCCTCTTTCCATGTCAAAAAAATTATGGATACCTTGAAAAAAGATGCTAAATAATGACAACAGGATCTAAAATACAAATAGGAGGAGAAAGAAACACAGATACGGATACACACAGCTTTCAATTTCCAGAGTGCAGTTCTGCTCGTCCAGAGGGTATCTCCTGAGGTCCATCATGCATGCTGCTGTCGTGGTGATTCTGAAATACACAGGGTGAGGGAAGATATTAAAGAAGGGCTGAGAAATGTATCAGGGAGACTGCTCCTATATAAACAGCGAGTAAGCACCCCGTGGGACCCCTGCCCAAAGTACAACTGGCTAAACATCGTTCACTATATACAGAGAGAAACCTGAGTAAATAAGAAACTCTTTTCAGCATAATATACAAGAGATTTATCAAGGGAAAAACCACAAAACTTTATTATATATTTTTTAATCATTTATTTTTTGATTCACATAAAAATTGTATCCGTTTGTAATATACAGCATGATGTTTGGAAATATGTATACACTGTGAAATAGTTAAATTGAGGTAATTAACAAAGGTATTGTATCACCTATTTAGCTCTTTTTATGTGTGATGAAAACGCAAAATCTACCCTCTTGCAATTTTTGAGTATCCAGCACTTTATTATTAGCTATAGTCACCATATTGTACCAAAAACCTTACCATGTCTTATTGACTTTGGATCATCAATGGCAGAGAAAGGGGGTTTCCAAGGAAGTTCTTACCTTCAATTTTTGCTTCTCTTCTTGTCTATAGGCTCTCTTGCCTCTCTAGTACAGAGAGATCCTATGTGTGGGACACCACCAACTAGGTTTTAAGACTGAGTCTTTGACTTTCCACGGGAAGTGTTAAAGTAGCTACAGATGCACTTTGGAACTCTAAACCTCACCTCTGCTTCTTTCAATTTTATTATCGTTGTTTGTTGGGCTGGATTCTAATATTACAGATTTTTTTTTTAACTGTGTAATCATCTCTCTTTTCAAAGAGAATATTTGGCTTCTATTTTATCAATCATGAACCAAACTTGGGTGGGTTAATTTCCCTTGGGGCCAGCTAAAGCCATGGAAATAATTTCTTCCCCAAAACAGTTAAGGCTCCACCATGCAATGGTTAAACCAGCCCTACACTGACAAACAACACTTCTAGAAATGTCCAGTCCTTTTCCTATTCTGTCTGCAGCCTCCTCTTAGGGAGACCAACTTACTCAAAGCCGCTTCTTTGAAAACGCAACTATTAGGGTCATTATATTTTGCATTATATATCTCTAGAACCCCCCCCTTTTCCCCACCACTGTCAAAGGTGACTGGACTGGAGTGGGTTCCTGAGTCAGAGACAGCAAGCCATTAGTGGGCAAGAGATCCATGACATGGGCTGAGTTGGAAGGCAGAGTGGAGCTAAAGAGACTCTCTTCCATAGGAATGAATTGAACAGCAAAGATAAGAGTGGAAGTGCATCTGCAAGGCCATGGTTTACAGGCCTGTGATGCTGTTTTCAGACTGGAGAGCAAAGGATGAGAAAGCACCACAGAGGACAGAAGGTGCTGCAAGGAGAGTTGAGGATGCAGTCACAGCTGTGCCCTGGGCCGCAGCGGGGGGCCTTGCTGAATGTGTGCTCCACCTCTCCAGGGAGCAGCTTCTCAAAGCCTGTGCAGGCTCTGTGTAACCAGCAGTCCTGGCTATGCCCATTCAACGATGGGGAGGAAGAATGAAAATGTGAGAGTGCTTTCTCCTGAGAGCCCTAGAGTCACCTTCAGTCCCCCAGCTGTCCTTCAGGTTTCATCTTTCTTGAAGCTCAGTGTTGAGCTTTATCTGAATGGTCTTCATTATTAATATTCACAACAAACCTACTAATGCTGCAGGTAATGAGCAAGCCCGACTCTTACCAACAGATCCTAACCCAAACATCTGTAAAACACTAGACATGTGCCAATTCTGATGGATTTGGCTCACGTACCCTACACGCAGGTGATAAGGAAATAATGGAGTAAGGTATGTCCTTCTATTAGCATCTGGTTAAGCAAGCAGATAGAGCAACGTTCTGCTTTGCAATGATTGACAGAAGCAGTGAGGGAAAATGTCAACGTATTTAGCAAACAGGTCAATGCTTAATTTTTTATGCACACAGCACGCATGCACCATGCAGACAATCAGCAAAATCCATACCAATGGTGACAGTGTGTTCCTTCCAAATGTCGTAACACTTCCCTTTATCCTAGGAGTCAAGGAGTGCACTACGTTCTATGATCCCAAACCAACACATAGCTCTTTGCCACATTTTTCTACAGCATTTAACATTCTAGCCAACTGAAGTTCCAGACTCACACTTTTCAACTGTGGCATGTGTTATGGCAGATTGACAACCCAATGTCCATACAAGATGCCCATAATGCAAAATTAGAACAGAGTTCTGCTAAAATTATGAATCTTTATGAAGAAGAAAAAAACCTTCACTGACAATGTTCAAATTTTTAAATTTTCCTTTTTTTTTTAAAATACGGAGTCTTGCTCTGTGGCCCAGACTGGAGTGCAGTCGTGTGATCTTGGCTCATGGCAAGCGCCACCTCCCGGGTTCATGCCATTCTCCTGCCTCAGCCTCCTGAGTAGCTGGGATTACAGGCCCCCCACACCATGCCCAGCTAATTTTTTTGTATTTTTAGTAGAAATGGGTTTTCACCGTGTTAGCCAGGATGGTCTCAATCTCCCAACCTCGTGATCTGCCCACCTCGGCCTCCCAAAGTGCTGGGATTACAGGCATGAACTACCACGCCTGGCTTAACTGTCTTATATATTTTGGTACCTATTTACTTGAACTGAGTCAATGATTGAAATTTCTGTTTCTTACTGTTTGTTTTCTTATTCACTCTTCAAACACCCCCCATACACACACACAGACGCACGCATACACACACATAAACATGCCCAAATTGTTTGGGGACGCCATGGGGATACATTATTGGAGGGAGAAGGGGAACCTGAGGCTAGAAGAACTGGTGACAGCACACCCTTGTCCCACCAAGTACACCAACTACAGCAGCTGTCCAGGTCTTCTCATTCTGTTATAATTCTGGCTATAAAATAGAGGCCCATTTCAGTGAGCTGAGATGGGGCCACTGCACTCCAGTCTGGGTGACAAAGTGAGTGAGACTCCATTTCAAAAAACAAAACAAACAAACAAAAAAAAACAAAAAGAGAAAAACAGAGAGAGAGAAGGGAATTCTGAAATTTGTGACAACATTGATGGAATTGGAGAACATTATGCTAAGTGAAATAAGTCAGGCCCAGAAAGACAAATACCACATGTTCTCACTTATATGTGGAATTAAAACAATTAACTTATAGAAATAGAGAGTAGAATGGTGGTGGCAGAAGCTGGAGGAGGGGAAATAGGGAGGTGATGAGCAAAGGGTAGACAATTTCAAATGGAGAATATGTTTTCTCTTTTTGTGCATTCTACTGCACAGCATGGTGAATATAGTTAGTAGTAGACTGTTGTACATTTCAAATTGCTAAGTAAATTTCAAATGTTCTTGCCACGAAAAAATGTTAATTATTTGAGGTGGTGGATATGTTAACTAGCTTGATTTAATTATTTCACATTGGATTCATAAATCGTAACATCATTTTGTACCCCATACATTTTTTCCCCACGCAACTCCCTCTTCACAGAACCCATAAATCTATACGATTATCATTGTCAATTTACAATAAGAAAAGAAAAAAAATGGAGCCACTTTTTTCTTTTTATGTGAGGAATAAGACAGACACATCTACTCACTACTCTTCCTCATTTGGAAGAAATCCTCAGAAAACACTCTCAGAGTGGAGAGTGAGGCACAGGAGCTCGCTCTTGCTCATGCTACAAAAGGTAACCATCAAGATAGAAGAAGTAGCTGAATAGCTGGGACAAAAAGGCAAAAGGAGAGAGAGTGGAGGTGAGGGGCAGAGTGATGCAGCCAACTGTGGAGGAGAAGCACGCCCCAACCCCTCCCTGAGCCCCAAAATCCTCATCCAAGTTGACTCAACTCATCAGAGGCTGGCTAAGTGGGCCTTTTGAGTGAATCGATCCTGGGACATGGCAGAAATCATTGAATGTGTGCTCCACCTCTCCGGGGAGCAGCTTCTCAGAGCCTGTGCCGGAGTTGTGTTCGGGCTGACAAGGGTTACAGAAGGGCTGAGGAATTTCACAGATGGCAGAACTGAGTTCAAGCCAAGTGCACGGAGATCAACCAAGGGCAGAGAGGCCACAGTGACATCCGGGCTCCACCTGTGTAATCCCCAACACTCACACACGTGGTTTTATATTTTCCCCAACAAACGTATATATTTTTCGTCCTGACACAATAATTTAACCAACATCTAGCGCCACCTTGTCCAACCCTCTGCGATCTGAGAATTCCACTGTTATTCCTAAGGAATGGTGATGAAGCTCAGCAGTCGGAATCCAGTAGGACTGGGTGAGGCTCTCCCAGTATTACTCTTCAGCAGATTCCCTTTTTTTTCTTTTGGTTGTTTCTTTTTTGTTTTATGATTTGAGAGACAGCAGTGCTTAGGGTCTCTGTGACTACAAGGCATGTCTCTGATAGAGAAGCAGAGAAAGATAATGGCCAAGTGACAGAAGACGTGCCTGTGTCCAATATATCCTTTCTTTACAGTCATACTTCAAGAACGCTGAAAGTAGAAAGAAAAAACAAACAAAAAAGTTGACGAAGAGACAGAGGAGTGAGGACTAGAGAACTGGACAACATTACAGGGATGGTGCTAAGTCATCATCTGAGTGCCCAGCACACCCACCAGTCACATCTGTACTTCATGGAACACTGGTGGAGCACTTGCTCAATGCCCAGTTCTGTGCCAAGCACTTTAATACACACATGTTTACTCTCACAACAACCATATTATAGAAGTATTATTATCATTATATCCATTGTGCAGATGAGTGAACCAAGATTCGGAAAGAGTAGGCAGCTCGACCACGTTCCCAATGCCACTGGAAGGCAGACGTGGCATTCAAACCCAGGCAGTTTGAACCCTATGCTCTGCTACATCTGTATTACCTCTTTCACCTTAAACATACAAAATATATTCAACTTTTAAAGGCCTACTCAGGAAATGAGAATCTTGTTTTGAATGAAGAGCAAGAAGGTTGATAAATTTATGTAGACAGATATAAATATTGATACTTATACCCATAAT